TTCAAAAGCGTCACACAAAAACATTTTCAACAGGGTAAGAAACGCTTTTGAAAGCGTCAGCCTCTGACGCTTTCAAAAGCGTCACAGAAAAACGTTTTTAACAGCGTAAGAAATGCTTTTGAAAGCGTCAGCCTCTGACGCTTTCAAAAGCGTCACGGAAAAACGTTTTTGACTGGGTTAAAAACGCTTTTAAAAGCGTCAGACTCTGACGCTTTCAAAAGCGTCAACTAAAAACGTTTTTTACCCCATCCTGACTGCGTCAGGAAAACAGATCCCTACTTGCATCCAAAACCGTTTGACCACCACCTGAAACGGCCAGGATACGCGTAAAAATAGCCGCTATCTCAGGCGGCAATCTGAAATTTTTGCTGGGTGGTTCTCAACAGAGGCAAGTGTTTCTTTGAAACCATTTCTAGATAATTGTTTGTGAAACAAAAACAAAGAATGGCAGAAGTGGACATTGAATCATTACCCCTCAAACAAGTGATTTTTGTGGAAGGGTTTCAAATTCCATGTCATGCTCTATGTATACTGAATATTGAATGTTTACATGTCACAACAGGTGGGTTCTCAATGGAAAAGTGCTTGTGTATCCTGAAAAAAACTACAGTAATCAAGTGTCTTCATCAGCCACTTAAATTATTTTCATTAACAAAATATATTTCTAAAAATCTTGAAAAATATTTCTGAAATGCTATCAAAATGGAACATTTCTGGATTGTTTGTTCAAAAAGTTCAATGAAAAATACAGGGGTGGACCTTGATAAGTTTAACCTCCCTAAGTCAATTACCTCCCTAACTCTAATTTTTTTGAGTCCCTGTCTGGATTCACTTATAAACAATGCTTTGAAAACCTCCAAAACTCAGATTATTTTTCTCTCAAACTCCTCTAAATCAAGTTTTCTGAGGCCTTTTGGTTATTATTTTCTTGAAATATGAAAGAGAAAATCAATAATACCAATGATTTTATGCATCTTGAATTGAAGTGAAAGACTATTTTAACTTATTAACTCCTGCCTCCAAGTTCAGCAATCTGTAAACGCATTAAAAAATAAGTTTAGGCCCAGAATATCCTCAACAACAATTTCCCACAATTTTTTACTTTTCCTCACAGCAAAAATGTTTTTTTTCCTTTACTCAAAACCTCAAAAAATCAAAACCTCCGTAAGTTGCAATTTTTTTCCTGGTCCCTACAAGTTTGACTAAGAGAGGTTCAGCTGTATTTAATTTCCAATTTCTGCGCATAAACAGGATTTTCAAAGTAACATCTCATCTGTTATACATTGTTTGCCACACGAATGGGAAACTTGATTAAGGCTGCCTAAATCACACAACTTGACTAAATGAGACAAAGTGGCATATAAGTCTCGCTTGTTACCAGGGAAGATACCTCTTTGCGCCCCTTATGACGTATTACTTACTTGAGTAAATTAAACTACATGCCTTGAATGACTTGCTGTAATAAATCTTTGCGGCAACATTGTACCAAGAAACGACTGGAAACATAATCGGAATAAACACCCAGTCCTAGAGAAAACCCGGGACTTTCCATTCATCTCCCAGAAACTGGTTCGCACTTCAGGGAACAATCGGGTTACATGCCTGCCTCCAACGTCATTAACGGTCCCGAAACCCGAAGAAGAAACCCACATTGCCGTTTTACCCTGATGAACTCTTTCTGCATCCAACATTTGATGGAAGTGGGGGAGAATTCGAATAGGAAACCAAGAACGAAACTCACTGATTGAGTAAGGAGTCTGTGCATGAGGGATTGTCCAACCTTTTTTTTAGACTGGCATGTCTATGGAAATCGATTATGCAAGTTACTAAAACATTTCTGAATAAATTTATCAAAACATATCCTGCTTTGAAATATTGCCATTTTTCAACTGATACAAATGGGGTTCACCTATTATGAGGGGATAGAATTTGATTGAAATTGTGGGGGGGGGGGGGGGAAATCCGGGCGCCCGTTTTACTCAAGGGTGTATACTTGAGTAAATGTGGTATCTCACATTTATGATAATTATACCATAACACAATTTTTGTAGACAAGAACTGAAAATTTACGTAACCCGGAATTGTTGAAATTCTGATGAAATGATTTTCCTCTACCAATCTCAAAGATGAGTCAAGAAAATTTATAAATTTCCGGAACAGCTGTTGCAAATTTTTGAGATGGGTTGAGGTAAGACAAGTTTGTCAAGGTACAAACTTGCCTTCTGTAACCTTTGAGATTCCTGGAATTTGGGGAAAACCCCTTTGCTCCCTGGAATTCCTGAGGTGGTGCAACCTGACCTCTGAGGTTGGTTTCACTGAAACTCTGTTTTCATTTCTTTCTGGCCATCTCTGGCCAATGCCTTGAAAGATGGTTTTCCTGATGCCTTCTCCATCATATTTTTGTCATTGCAAATCTGACTCTAGTGTGCGCTGTTTGACAGATCCTGCAACATTTCAAAGTATCTGATTCTGTTTAAATTGAAATATACTAACATTAAAATGGGGTGAAATTCCCTTGTGTTTTAGCCCGACAAAATCCTTGAATTCTATTTTATTAAAAGTCAGTTTTGCTTAATTCCCAACAGCTTAGGGTCTGGAGGTATGAATACAATTTTATTGAAATGTTTTGCTGAAAACCCGGGTGAGTGACTTCCTCAAGGGTGCATGGTACTTGAGTAATTTTTTTTATCTTGTTTTTAAAATAATACAACATGATGCAATTCTTGTGGACAAGAACTGATGAATCACGTAACCAATAAACGTCCGCAGTGGGAGGAACAAGCAGTAGGATCCTACAGGGGTCTGGGGGGAAATAATAAGGACGTTGTGTAACGTGTGTCTGTGGCCTATCAATTTTGCACCTTGTTTACTGTTTGTTTTTCAGAAGGGAAAACGCATCCATTACATTAAGTTGTCAGGATGGCCGAGCGGTCTAAGGCGCTGCATTCAGGTCACAGTCTGGTTCTGCAGGCATGGGTTTGACTCCCACTGGGATTCGAATTTATTTATTTATTTTTCTTTTATAAATAAATCAAAGAAAAGATTTACACTCAGTGCACTGCGGACGCTCTACTACTTGATAATAAAATTTGGATGAAGATGATTTTTCTCTGCCAAAATCGGAAATGAGTCGGGAAAATTTTCGACATTTTCATGGAAAAAGCTTACGGTCTGGAGAGAATTTCTGCGATGAATTCCTCCAAATAATTTGACTGTTAATCATCTATGGTCTCAAAAATATAATGTACAAAATTAAAAGCGTATGGGGTACACTGCCCTTAGATTTTTTTTTTGTAAATCGGCAAATAAATAATGAATAAATTGTCTCACCCGCCAGGGCAGCACAGATGGGTCCCAGCCATCGTCCTTGTTCGCAGCGGATTTTGCACACCTTGAGCTGGTCATCGCGCCCAGGCACATCGTCAGCCAGCTTGCCCACTATGCTGTGCTTGGCCTGAAGAAGGTGCAGGGCTATGTCGCTGAGCCTCTTCACCATGCGCCCCTGAACCTCGTGCCATGGTAACCGTGGTGGTCTCCACGAGTCCAGGCCGCCGCCCGTCCCAATCGCGCTGGCACTTGCTCCTCCCCGACCCGCACCCGTGCGCCCGAACCCGGTGTGTTGCTGGTGATCGCCACCCTTGCCTGCCATATCCGTCAGGGTCCTTCCTGTGAAACCGGAAATATGCAAGAGGTTCTCAATAGAAGGGCCCCGCGTGGAGCCCCCTTTGGGGATCCGCATGCATCAGTGGAGTTCCAGAGGGGCTGTGTCAGTTATTTGATTGGTCGGATCGCAACACGAAATATTTGATAATATTTTCTCACTGCATTTTCTCGTTATATGCGGAAAATCTAAAACCTTCGTTTTTGAAATGAATATACTGTACAATAGAAAATTGGTGAATACTGTACATCAGTTAAAATACAACGGCAGAGTTGACTTTTTGCCATCTGAATCATTACAAGTACAGTAATTAATTAGTCATAATACTGAGAACAACTTGAGAGAGGCAAATAAAGTAAATACTTCTTTTTTGTGTGTCTCTAAAAAATTTTACACAGGTTCTGTTAAAAAAGAACGCCCACATACAATAGTTATCGACATAAGTTTCTTCTGAAGACTAAAAAAAAAAAAGTTTCAGAATTCATCGGGTGACATACAAAAAGGTGGAATTCGACTTTGTTTTCTCTAAATCATCTAACAAAAGAGAAAAATTTCACTGTACATTCATTTCATTTATGAAGAAGAAACACGGAGACAGTAGAAATATTTTGTCGAATAACTTTCTTGATCTTTATTTTATCTCTAACTTTTTTCGAAGAAAAGAGCATTTTTAGCAACAAATGCTCAAGATTCATAGTTTTTCAAGTTTCTATGAAAATAATTTTGTCTAGAATCGAGTCAGAATTCCATCAATTTTCAATTTTAAAAATTCTGAAAAATGGGTCCGAAATTTCGCATTGGAATCAAGTTCGCGTTGCACTTGACCTTAAGTTTCAAAATTATTTGTTTTAAAATGTCATACCCACATAATATGTGCACCTTCATTTTTTCCTGTCAATTTTGACAAAAAAAATTTCACGTGGTGACTAAATACAACTAAATTCAATGGGTTATTCAGCACGGAAAAAACTATCGGATCTGACAGCATCCCAAGAATGACCTCCAAAAAAAAAAAACCAAGGGCAGTGTACCCCACTCTTTTAATTTTGTACAATATATTATCCAGACATGGATTAAAAAAACCAAAAAAAAAAAAAAAAAAAAAAAAGTGGCAGGACCAGAACTCGTCCAACCACTCAATTCAATTCCATCAACCACAAATTTCTACCAAAAAATAAAAATAAAATGACATCATCTTTCATCTGCTGATAACCAAAAAATAATTTATAAAATAACGTCACGGCGTCACCGACAGTACTCGCAGACGGCGAGGGAATGACTTCATTCACTGATCCGGAACTTGGGCTGTCAAAGGAACTGTTTTGCGTAACCCTACACATATCTCATATAAGTGCAAAACAGGGGTGGGGGTGGGTTCGGATGACCTGTGATCCCAGAAGTTCCCATCAGAGACGACGAGACGGGGGACTCGCGTCGTCCAGTCCACAGCTGGACGCGAAACCGAGTCACAGGCGGAGGCGTCCGTAATTCGTCCCCTCGGACATCCGAATCGTATCGCCCCCCCCCCCCCCACCCTTGCCAATAAAGCGTGTGCCAATCTGGTTGCACTTTTCTTCTTATTCCGACAGAGAATGCGAGCAAAAAAAAAAAAGAAGAGCTCGTATAGTTATTGTCTTCGGCAGCGCAGAAATTCCTAAAACGTGTTGCTTTGTTATGCATTCGAAAAATAAAGTCCACCCAATTTGCATGTCGCTCAAAATTGCGTCAAAAACATTCGATGAAAATATTATTCGATTCAAAGTCAATCAGAAACCGATTTGCACAAACATAATGAGATTATACACATGGACAATGATCTTGTCTACTACGATTTTCTGGGTATAATGAATATTTTGTTATCAAATATGGTGTTATATGGGTGGGTTCTACTACACAAAGAAATTCTCTCTTCAACGAATTTTTCTCCTGTGTTCAATTGTATAGACTATAGAGAGAGTCCACCTGTATTCTCATTTTTCAGTAAGTACAATATTTCGTCGTTCTTTTTTTGACACTACGTGAGCATTTTAAAATTGTTTTCTCATAATTACTCCGCGCGTAATTACATTTCTCATGAATCTTCAAGTAAGAAAAATATGACACACTATTGTGATGTTCATTTGTGCTGTATTTCAATCACAGAAACAGAAAAAAAACAAATCTGGTACCAACCTAAACGAACCAATCCTTACCTGACCTGAACAGAAATCAAATAAATGAAGCTAACTTAATCTTACCCATTTTGGAACTTATTTCTTCTGAAATTAGCTATCAAAGAAACTATATCATGGCTATCATCATGTAAAAAAAATTCGAAATATTCCTATGAATGTTTGTTTGTGCTGCATTTAACTTACAGATACTGTATATACAAAAAAATTGATCTGGTACCCGATCTAAACTAATAAATCTGAAGCTTACTCAGCCAAAAACGAAATGAATGAACCCAACCCAAATATAGCCCTTTAAAAAAATTATGGAATGAACCATTAATACAAATTATCCTTCATATGAGAAAATCCCGATTTAATCTACACACTTTTAGGCGCTTACCACCCCTGTGCCTCGCAAGGCAATCCCAGCCCCTGGGGTAGAGAAATTGCGAAAACATGAGCAGCGTGCCAAATGCTGCTGGTGGCACCCCGAAAAAAGGAACAAAAACCCAGGAAAGGCCCCTGAGCGTGGACCCATAATCCCCTCTATGGCCATATCCTGGTGATCCTTATTCGTCGTTCCTGGCAGAACATCGAAAGATCATCGAATTGCAAATGGGCAGTTGGGGGCCTGTTCCAAATTTCAGCGCAGAAAAAGACAAATGCAGGCATGTAAATGGAGGAAGAGGGCAGATGCAGTACAGTTGAACCTGGATAACTCGAACCTCACAAAGTCAAATATATCACTAGATCGATTTTTTTTTCAAGTCCCTGTCTGAATTTCTTTAAAAACAATGCATTAAAAATCTGAATAGCTCGAAGGCTTTCGTCTCAAACCTCCGTAAATCCAATTTTCTGAGTATTTACGATCATTATTTTCTTGATGCAGAAAATAAGGGAAAAGTAATAAAAAATAATTTGATGTGTATTCAGAGGAGGTGAAAGACTAATTGGGCAATTAAGCCCTTCTTCCAAGTTTAGCATCCAGCCAATTCATTCACTACGCAATTTAAGGTCCAGAATTTCACCATTTACAATTTCCAGCATTCCAGCATGAACAAAAATGCTCATAAAGGCAAGTAAATCATTCACCAAACTTGTGAGAAAACCCTGACATCCCCGGATCTCTCGGGGGGGGGGGGCCCCCCCCCCCCCCCCCCCCCCCCCCCTTTAACGCGGATTTGAAGACAACAGCAAAGTTTCCCTCCACCATTTTTAAGACTTCTCCAGCATGCCATATATAGTTCCAGTTCTCTCTCAATGCACCAGTAGCACTTACAATTTGTCAAAGGGATTCCTCACAATGCCAAGTTTGTATAGGAACTCAGCTGAGGCATTGGTCCTGCATGTACAGTGGGTTGAAAATAAGAAACTACAGTATGAGTGTGTATGTGTGGAGAAAACAGGAAAAAATTAGTTAAGAATCCCCATTTTCCATAGTTTCGATTATTGGGGACAGATGTTTCCTCAATATAATTTAGTGAATGAATGAATGAACAGAACTCTTCATTTGCCGCTTTTCAGCGTTCACAAGGTTCAATTAAGATTTCCACATCCAAACCCCCTTCCCACCCAACCCAAATCCACTCAAAGACATTTAATCACTTCACAGCAGGAAACAGAGCACAAATTGATAACAAAAATAAAAGAAAATACAATCCACAAAATACAACTGGACATCTGACATGTATGCATACACCCATTCATTCCCTGACATTGAAAACAAATATATGTAAAAATGTATTTAAAGCACAAGGTCTTCAGCTTGTTTCTGTATGAGGTTTAGTTCAATGAATAATTTAGAGAGAATCTTTGATGAGAAATCATATGAGGCCAACAGTTTATTTTGACCCTTTACAATTTCAGAAAGGGTTGATTCATTGAATTCCAATACTTGTAAATCTTTCTTAAGCTCATTTCTATAAGTGTTGGATAAAATGTGTTTCACACAGGTTAAATACTACTGAGCAAACTCTTCCTTCAACTACTATGGATTGAACTGGAATAATTTTATTTGATTATATATATGCTTTTCTTCTCTTCATTGAATAATTCAACATTTGATAATTACCCTCCATTAGGTTTTACCATTCATTTTTAAGGTAGAGTATGAAACTCTAGAAAAATACTGAGATAGTACTGTACATCAATGATGGCACAAACATCCATGTCAATCAATGTTGAAAATGTCATTTGCATTGAGCCATAATATCTACCGGCCAGTCGACATTCCCACACATGACATTCCGTTCCCATAAATACCGTTCAAGAAATGTGTTTAAAAAAAATGAAAGACTGGGGAATGGACTCGGAATAATGCATGCGATGTGTTGACCCTTATAAATCGCGTTCCGTGGTGCTCAAGTTCAGGGCTTTTCCTCTCTAAGCCGTGACTTTTATTGTGTTTCTAAAAAAATGAAAGACTGGGGAATGGACTCGGAATAATGCATGCGATGTGTTGACCCTTATAAATCGCGTTCCGTGGTGCTCAAGTTCAGGGCTTTTCCTCTCTAAGCCGTGACTTTTATTGTGTTTCCTGCTCTGCTTTTATATAGGATGCGTTCATCGTTTTGGGTCCTTCATTCGCGATGACGAAAAAGCAAAAAGGGGAACAAAAGCCCTGAAGCTCTCTTTCTTGGCTACGGTTCAAGTTTTTCCACGCCTTTTCTTTACGTGCTGGTGAGGATCCTCCAGAAAGTTTCCTTGATAAAAAAAAAACAATACAAAGGGGGTTTCGATTCTCAGCAGGAGCAAAGTTTCGACAGCATCCACTTCACAAATTCAACCACATTATGATGTTCATTTAATTTTGAAAAATAATTATGCGATTAACTTGCCTGTCTTTTTCCATATATATACGCTATTTGTGTGTCCCATGGATTCCTTCTCCAATTATTTTTTAATTAATGGCGATCAACAGGATTTTTTTTCGTACAAATAATTAGATGCACTTTATATTGTTTCGGCTCCGATAAACGGCAATGTTTTTTCGTTTTTTAAGTGGTCCATAAAAGCTGTTTTCATGATTTATATTTTAAAATAATAATTATGCAATCAGCTATCCAGTCTTTGTCCATATTCTTTTTCAGTCCCTAGAGTTCCTCGTCGAATTCTTCTTAATATATGGCAATCGACAGGATTTTTTCATACTAACAGACAGATGCATTTTATAATACGCATTTTGACTTCAATTTTACTTTTAATCATCTAAGTTTTAATCGACAAACGAGAAACAGCGGTGTTTATAATTTTTTCAAATGGTCTGTATAGTCTCTCTTATTGAGTTTGGATAATTTAAAACATTTCCATGAAAGTTTTCAATATCTGAAACACATGTACAGTACTGTACTGTAGAATGAAAAGAGTATTCTGATTTTAGTAATTCTCGTGTTTGTGATTCTGAATTTCAGGGTTTCCAGAAACCCTCAATAATAAACCCTCAACCGAGGGTGTGTAGAATCACTGACACCCATCATGAGACAGGAACCACATTCACGTGGGTACCTTGCAAATAATTATTGAAAAGCAATGCAGAAAAATGTGGTGTTAGTGATAAGCGAGCAAAAAATTTGCGGGAAAAATCCGGGAACCACGTGGTGCGAGTCAATTGCGACTGAATTACGTGAAATGGGATTAAATTTCACTATGTATAAAAATATCGTACAAGAGATTCTTTTTCTTGAAAAATCCTGCTGATAAATTTTCCTTTAAGTCATTCAATTGAGCAATTATTTTGTCTGGAATAAAAAGTAAAAAATTTTTCTAGAGTGAATTTTGCATGTTCTTTTGCTGTACTTGCAGACCTATTCGGAAATTATTTATCCTTGCCAATTTTATGTACACAGAATTTCCTTAAATTTTTGCAATGCATGGCAATGTAAAAAAAGTCCTTCCATAATCGTAGAAAACGAATCTGTAACTTCCAAAATACTGTATGGACACTCTACGTCAAAAATCTTTGGCAGCAGGTTCATTTCCTCTGCATGCATATAGTTACTATATTTCGGTAATGAACATTGCGCATTTGGATGCTGAAGCATTTAAAACAGCCATTCATCAACTACAGTACTTGGAAACATTCATGAGTTGTAAATAAATTGGTGCTTTTGTGTCGTTTTGAAATGGAAACGATGAGATCTCTGAATAACTAATCATGTACACAGCTTCATGAGTGATTATGAAAAACAATAGAATCCGTAGAAAACAGAGACGGTTACGCATGGGGAAACGAAAAGAATATTTTTCTGATCATATCAAAAAAACAAAATTTAAAAAATATTTTCATCTAAAGTTTTTCGGAAATGTTCAAGCGAAGAGAAAAACTCCGTAAAAGTATGTTTCCATTATTCACGTAAATCCGACAGAAACTTTTATTCAGATGACATTTCTGATATTTTAGAAAGTATGAGTATATTTTTAAAATTCCCAAGTTTCTGAGTTTCTTAATGATAGAAATGAGAATCGTCCGTCCGAGAATATTTGTTTTTTTTCGTTTCAAGTTTGAAGGTTTTTTTTTTAAAATTAGGGCTTCATTCTTAATTTTTGGCTCTGAACCGTCTATTCGGTAAAATTGAATGTTAACCCTACGAAACCTTACAAAAATATAAGCTATCTCCTTCGAAATAGGAGGCTTTTCTAGAGCTAAAAACTATGATTTTATGGCAATGGTTCCTCTCAAATTTCGCTGATCCGAACACCAACTTTTTTGACAGAACATCTTCATGTTTTTCCCTTAAAATCACATATTTTCTGCGACAGTGCCACTCTTAATTTAATACACGCGTGCTGGATATCTTGAGGCGCTATTCTGAGGAATCCCAAGATTCCGCATTATCCGGACTGAATGGACGCATTAATTCAATCATAGTTTCTTTTGAAAAGGTGTAAAAATCTAATTACTCAGACTTTCATGATTTTGATTGGTCATTCAGCTCACCTCCATTCCATTTTCCTTGTGGTCGAGCCGCGGATGATGTTCTGAAGGAAGTCGCCAGCAGGACAAACACGAATATCCTGAAAACAAAGAGTGAGAAAAAATCCAACAATAAAAACATCAACGTCGAAATATCGCTGAAACCTGCAAGAAATACGTGATACATTTCTTATTGAGCGTAAAATAGCTTGTAATTTCTTATATCAACTGATGAACTTGTGAACTGATTTTTTTAAGTTAGAAAAATGTCGGCAGCAAAAATAAAATACCGTGAAGATGAAAAAAACTCACAGAAGTAAAGCATAAATTTGTTTTGATGGAAATGAACGCTTTTCTTTTGGGATGGCGATTTTAAACTGTCATTATAGGTTTTCCAAAATAACCCTCCACAGAAACACTATAAGGACGGCCATTCTCTAATTTTGACTTGTTCAGCAAGCAAAAGATATTTCTTCTCACCTCTGATACTGGCGGGATTCAATGGGCTGATGTTTTTTCGAATTAATTTTATTTGTACTCTCTGAATTTCGGGTATGTGTTCCGATGTTGCAGACTGATTGTTTCATACAGGATCCAGTGATGCCTTTATTATCCCACGTGTCTTTATCTCGGGTCGTCTAATTCAATTCAGAAGGAGAAACCCGAGGAAAATCTCCACAGCCGCCTTGCAAACCCAATTATCACCAGGAACAAGTCCCCCACCACCGCAAAATTATACGCCTGCCTCGTCAATGTATATAGACGGTGCTACTGAATAAAATGCTGCTTTTGGAACCTGGGGTGGAAGATGAAGAAGTGATACGCTGTCCACCCTGAAAATATTTCCGCGGGCGGGTCAGACAGGTAACGGTATTTAAAAAAAGAGTGAGAAAGCTACGTCATGTTTTCTGCACATTTATCACATTCTAAGAAGTTCACCTTGAAGCCTATCATGGAGGAAAGTATCATTTAAAAAAAATGCCAGCATAGTTTTTGTCAATTTGTGCCATGGTCTCAAAATACAGTGGGTCAAAATACCCTGACGTGCAGAGAATTCGACTTATGGACAATTTATTACCGTGAAACAAAACTTGCCTTGGTATTTGAACAATGTCTCAAGGTTTGGACACACTGCCAAAATTTCCAGAAAAATGACAAGCAAGTTTCAAGGATTTTGATTAAAGCTCTTCAACCAATTGAGATTTATTTATTGGCTTTGTACGTATAGGAATTCAAAATATATCTTGGTGAAAATGCACTCTAATTTATTTTCCAAAACAGGCTACTTTCTGCTTCTCTTTTGAAAGATTCCTCCCTCAACTACCTACAGTATACAAGTGGACTCTCCAAAACGAAAACTCGAGGGATCAGACAAAATTCGTTGCAGAGATTTCGTTTTACAGAACCCCAATAACAAATAGGGAAGGAACCCAATGAGAAAAAAATTAATTATACAGACAAAGTCATTTTATACAATCTTTTCGTGGAGAAAGTCCACCTACTGTAGCAATACAAGCGTGTTTCGCTATTTGGACTCTTTTTAATTCCAATTTGGCAGTGTGGTTATTTTTCCTGCTATTTGGTGGCAAAGAACTTCCAAAAAAGAATTTCAAAACATTTTTGTAAGCTTGATCGACCTCGTAAATTTTAAATTTTAGCACATAATTTGCGCAAGTTTCATCCGTCATTTGTAAAAATAAATAAATAAAACAAACAGAAAATTCACTCTAGAAAAACTACCTACTGACTGTCAGCAGTGACTTCTGCAGAGTTCATAGTTGCATGGTTTCAAAACCAGTTGCAGCCGGGACATGAAGCAATACCCGATGGATTCCAAACTTTCTGCAAGTTTCGAACAAGTTTTGAGACGATGGCAAAATTGTAAAACATTTTCAAATACATTCGAAGACGTGTGTCACAAAACTTGTATCACGTACGTCAGACTTCTCCGGCCTGTTTCTCAATAAGTCGGCTAAGCAAAATATACTCGTAAGTTCATCCTCTCCGATCTCGTTTAAATATCGCTAAATTTCTGGCATGAAATGAATCCAATGTTTTTCTTCAGTTGAATGATGCCTCGATAACATACAATATATTTTCTCAAGAAGAGAGCTGTTGAAAGTAAAGGTAAGTGGATTGACACGAGACATTTCCGTGGAAAAAGTTTTGGAGTCTGGAGACATAAAAAAAAAGCCTGAACATGGCTTCTTGTACCAGAGAATAAATTGAGTCACTTGTGCAGCAAGGGATGTTCGTATATCGGTTGAAACATCGTGCGCGGAATTCGATTGGCATTTTTATTTTTATTCGTGCTGTTTTCCGTTCTTTCTGGGATGCCAGCCTTCTTTCCATGACAATCTGATAACGACTGAAGAATCTAATTATTGAACTCCGAAGCCCGCCCCAAAAAAGGTGAGATAGGGAACGGTGCCAACTTTTCCCTGGTTTCGCGGTCGGGAAACCGCCGTATTGTTCTTGCAAAGGATTCGAGTATTTCTTCTTTTTTTATACTCCATATTGGCCTGAAGTTCTGCGGTTTTTATTTATTCCATCATTTCCAAACTTTGCTGACTTGCGTCTTGTTTCAACTCTTTTTCTTCTTGGACTCGGATCTGCTGCTTTCATGCCACGCTTCGCTTCATGGACTCGGATCCGAGAGATGCTCATAATATGATCGTGTCTTTCTTAATAAAAAAAAAGTCATTCTGACAAAGCATTCATGTTTTTTCCGCGTATACGCGAATATAAGTAAACTCAGATAAGCATGATTGTGATCACTTAATTCTAATCTATAAATTTTAAATTAATTTTAAAAGATTTGAAATATCCCACTCCGAACTCTGACGGAGAAATGATTAATGACCAACGTTACTTTCGAAAATATTACGCATGCCACGATTTTTGCAAGCACGTGTTGCTTCAAAATTTTCCGGAAAGGTTTTTAAAATAAAGTTGGACTCTTTCTATACAACAAAATTCAAGGAACTAGAAAGAATTTCGTTATACCGTGAGAGAACCCCACGAGACTACAAACAAAATCGTTTCATAGAAAAAATCGCTGTGGATAAGATCGTTGTATAGAAAGTCAATGTTCTTTTTTTTTTCAAAGTAGTGGTGTTTCATTTCCGAAAGCGACTTCCAAATTTCGTTTTTTGGCACATTCACTGAACATCGAATAGCTAAGCTATCTCAAACGCGGCCAGTATTTCTACTAGATTTCCTAATTTAAATCCATAAAAAAGCCAAGAATAATTCATCACGTTTCGACGGTAATTATTGACAATTCAAATAAAACAAATAGCATTTCATTGGACAGAAGGCTCTATTTTCCACCCACCGAATTTTTAAAAAGAATTCTGACTCTTGAAAAAAAATGAAGTGCTACTATGTACTGTATTTCTCATGTCCTCTCCGCGAACCAGATGAGATAATAATTAAGCAATTTTTAGAGGTCGCATCAGTTCAACGATAGCTTGTTTCGGCGAATGAATTTTATTGAAATGTAAGAAGTTATCCAATTTTATGACGTCATCCGCCATTAACCCCGAATAATAAAACTAAAAAGGATGGCAGGGATACTAACGGGCTTTTCCTGAAGTTGATGGCTTTTCCCTACGAATGAATCCGAGTTTTTATTATATCCTGGTATACCAGGGGAAAGACTAAATCGCCTTACGGAATTTCCTGGCCTTCAGCATCATGGGAAAAATTATCTTGGCAAAGGTCTGGTGATATGGCGGAAATTACGGTATCAATGAAAAATATTTGTCAAAAGTCCTGCTTTGTTATTCCAACTCTAATCATCTCTCTCACGATTATTGCAGCTCAGCCTTGGTTTTGAAGGGAAAAAGTCTGCTGCAGCTGGGTTGCTTATCCTGTGTGTTAAGGCTTCAATGAAGAATATCATTTGAGTATAGACAGTCAAACTTCTCAAAGTCAAATTTCAAGGGACTGGTGGAAATTTTGGAGCGATTTCAAATGGTTTCAAGTTATAGGGAGGTTTTGAGTCAGGGAAACAACCATTTTTGTTGTGGGAAGCATAGGATAATTGCAGGATATTGTGAATGGTGGTATTCTGGGCTTTAAATTGCTTTTCAAGTGAGTTGGCAGGATGCGGATCTTTGAGGCAGGCACTCATTTGTTCAATCATAGTCTTTCACTTCCTTTCAAAATGCATCAAGTTCCTTCTTTGTTTTTCTGTTCCCTGTTTTAAGAAAATAATAGCCAAAAGGCCTCCAAAATTTCAAGTTATGCAGGTTTGAGCAGAAATGCCTTTGAGTTAGAGAGGTTCTTAATGCATTGCTTCTGACAGAATTCAGACGGGGTCTTAAAAAAAATTTGACTTCAGAGATACTAACCTAATGAGTGAGAAAAAGTAAATCAAGTGGAAAACCGCCCGATCAGAAAAAGTCTGGTGAAAACCAGCATTGTTCGCAGAAAAGGCTTTCGTTGAGAGTTCATCTGTTGTGAAATACCTTGAAATCTTGTCGAAACGTTTCTTTACTGCGTTGGGACAATTTTGAAATATATTCTAAATTTTAATTAGGGATTTTACAAAGAATCCCCAGCCTTGTCCTGCGCTGAATCTGCTTTTCCTTTTCTATATTGATTGTTTCTTGATTCACAGCCAATTAGTGCATCTTTGTTTTGCTCTGACCACTTTCAGCAACAGCGTATGAGGCAAATTTGCAATAAAAAAATATTTCTGACAAAAGCGAAACATTTTTTAAACCTGGGTTGAATTGCCAAAATGTTTGTTTCTTTCTCGATCAGGAAGTTATACTTATATATGGAAGACATATTTCACTTCATCAGTGTGTCCAGTAAAATTTGTTTTCAAAACACAACCCGGAAAAATGTAATGCGCCCTACAAGGTACGTGGCCCAAAATAAATAATCCTCGAAGAATTTCAACTTATTTTCAACTCTTCGTTTCTTGAATTTTTTTATGAGGCTGCATAGTGTGACTCACAGCAGGTATTTCAAATTCAGCACGAAGCTACAAAACAATCCGAGATTTTAACAAAGCCTACGCTTCATGCGAAGATCTTTGCAAGTAGCTTTAAAATTCGCTTCCGTTTCCTGTAACACCCTGTAAATGCAGAACTCGAATTTCAAAGACAGGCCATGTTCTTCCATACATGAAGGCAGAACGACATGCCGCTTTTACAAAATAATACGAAGTACTTTAGTTCATTGTGTGGGGCATAAACTAATGCGAAAAACAATAAGGAAACCCTGGGTTCTGACAAGATCAATAACAGGTCCAAGCCTTTGATGGCACTCCATTAAAGGAAGGCCGCGTATTACCGTTAATGAAGCCAATTCGGACAGCCGTGAATAATTTCTCCTTTCTGCCATTTCCAATAGCAATTTACTCATCAAGGTATCTTCAAGAGCTTAACGACGCTTTCTGAGTATTAAATACTAAGTTACAGGGATTTAATAAGAGAAACTAAATCTTCAACACCGTCGGAAACCGATCCTTAGCCTCAAACTCTTCGAATCCAAGCTATATCTACAAGTAACCCATTTAATGTGACAGTTCTAAAATTTTGAGCAGAAAATATGGTCTTCAGATCCCATAATGAAGCTCAGGATTATATAAAAAAAATTATACTTTGAAAGATCAGTCTGATAGTTTTTTTTATAGAAAGCTTTAAATGTTTAGCAGCTTGAAAAAATGTTGAGAACGTGACCGGGTTCGAGGTCAACGTGATAATTTGTTCATTGCAAGCACAATTTTCGTGTGGAAATAAATCGGAGTTATCTTTTATTCCCCATTTATTTATTGTCTTATATTTGGAAGTAGAACAATTGCGGTTACATGTTGCAGCAGTTCTATTACTTGTGGGCAATGAAAGTGATGGAACTGCTGTTGAACATTCTCTGGCTTATTTCCTTGAAATCACCCAGTGTGTGCAATTTTCTTCGTATTTTCTTAATCATTCATCATCATTTAGAATTTTCAATTTCGTTCCATTCAATGGAGACGGAGCTGGTGAAACATTCATTCATAACTTATTTTACGAAATCGTTGGCTTTTAAATTCAAATCTCCGTCAGGTTCAGAGTCTTTTCGGTTTTCAAGAGAGTTTCTTCATTCCGAAAAGCATAAAATTTTAATTTGGTGAATCGGAATCGCAGGGATATTCATAATAATTGAGCATCTGAATGCTCAAAATGTGCTCAAAAGCTCAAAGAATTTCTGGAAGGTGAAGAATAGTTAGACCTTAGACGTCATCAGTTCCATGAATGTATCCCATCTTTTGAAGATAATTCTGTTCTTTTTGGAAATTTTTCTAATATTTTTCGGATCAAGAAAAAATTAAAAGAACTTGCTCTTTGAAGCTTCAAGAGAAGGGTTTTTATTCGTGATGTCACAGTCTTTTTTTTTTTTTCTTTCAATAGAACCAGAAATAAAATCTGGCCTCTCAATTCAAGTATTTTTTCTAAAGCTCTCTGCACAGGCCGGAAAAATGGCTTTATTTCCTTGTGAAAGTCTCGTAAAAACTGAAAAGAAGAGCGTTTTTTTCCGGAATATCCCCACTTATTATCGCTTCTTATTGATTCTTGATCGTCTGATTCATACCATATACAGTACTTGGTCACGCTATTTTCAACCTCTTCACATTCGAAATTCACAGATCCTGAGAACCTTCCAATGTCTGGAACGTTTCACCCCGATTATAATACAGTATATTCCTTCTATACGATATAGAAACCCAAACCTCTGTTACACAGCACATGTGGTATGTCTCAAATTACGCTCGTCTAAGCGTGCGTAAATAGAACATGTAACCGGGAATGCCGGGGGAATGCGAAGAATGAGGAATAAGACAACGGGGATTGCTCATTAAGACGACATTGGCGAAAATGGCTCGTGTCGGGTTCTATACTAACGAGGGACCCTTTTTTGTTTTGTTCAGTGCCAGTGTTTATCCTTATATGGTCGATGGGTTCGTGTGCTGTTGGTCGGCTGTGGGAGATGTGCTGGACACCCGTTTACCCCCAGGCTAGGAGAAGTTGACCCCTTGTTCCCGTATTAACGTCTGGGAAGCGAGGCAGAAAATGACCTGGTTTCTTCTTTATTTTTTACCCCGATCCGTGTCAACCTGCTGTGCTTGTCCGCGGACAAGGCGCTGTGTAGGTGTTCCTGCATTTTTCAAAGCCTGGAGGTTAAAAACATTTCAGTGTAATCGAGTCTGTTAATAATGTTCAAATAATTTGTATCGTTGTTTCAATAGCTTATATTTAGATAACCAATCATTCAGCCTTCTTCTGCTGGGACTATAAGGAGTAAATTTATTTGCAGGTATCAGAAAAAAATCTGGAAACCCCCATCACTCTGCGAAACTTGCGTTAAAGAATACTCTTAAATTCAAAACTTGGAATAGAAATGCTCCGGTATACTTAGCTTTTTTTTACACAGGCTTAAACAGTTTTGTATTTTTAATATGACGTTTAACTCATTAAAATTCCAAAACTTAATGTCAGTTCGGGGTAATTCTACGGGGGCTGTTCGACGACGGAACATTTGACGGTTAAATAAAACTTTTTGTTTAGATCCTTAACCCTTGGGCAGCAAAGTTGGGATATTTTTGCAAAATTTTGTCCACGTGAGGGCTGCAAATTAAAAAAGATTATTTCTGAACCAAGGCCTAATAAGTCAGGAAAAAGTCTGATATTTTTTTAGAATACTTGAGAAAATTTTGCCTCAAAAAGAAAACAAATCCTCATTGGGTGGCAGTTTTTCAAGGATTCCCAGCGGGGATTTCTTGAGACAATGGGATTTTCTGTGCCCAGATTTTTCCCAACTTAAGCCTTGGCAACCTGGGGGCATTTCAGTGACCTTAAGTCAAACTGAAATGCCCGTCCCCCTGAAAAAATCCTGAATTTGCCACAGGATGGCCAGGGACCCTCTGCTGTCCAAGGGCTAAAGATAATATCATTGGAAATTGCGCCAAAACGCCATCTTCCATCCACCAAGATTATTGACAACTCAAATCTGCTCCTGTCCATTAATTTTGTCTTTGATAGCCCGCCAACAAGATTTACGTTTCTGCAAGAGGTTTCAAAGAAAAAACCTCTTGGGACCATCAACTGGATTCAATTCATGCATCCCAGGATTATTTTGATTTTTATAGGAAAAAAAAGAATTTCATTTACTGTCATATTGTACTTGTTTTTCATATTATTTTAGCTCTTTGATAAACTACTAACCCCCTTTAAATTGCTATAACCCTGTTGAACTGCTGCAAACTTCAAATACTTTTGACGGTTTTCAAAGCTTGACAGTAGTAAAAAATCCACTACATGCCCAAATACCCTTGGAAGAAATTTAACCCACTTGAATGCAGAAATTAGAATTATCTTCTGATTGTTCATCATATTATGGGATGAGGAATCTCTAGGAGCGTTTCTATTTCCTCCAATAATATGAGAGGAGCAAATATTTTATGAATTGAAGAATTCATAGACACAACGTGTTTACAGTACAGTACTGTGTACTTCCATTTTGAAGTTCAAGCATTAACCAACAAAATTGAGAAAAATGCTCAGTCACTACCCGAATATTCAGAGACTCTTTATCTCATGCCAAGTCAAGACACCACTGAGCCGTGTTAAATATCTACTCCACTGTATTTGAGTGCTCAGTGGCCTGAGCCTACCATGATTTAGGCAGGTAATGTGGAAATCAGGACTGACAACTTAATTGGTGGCGCATGCTGTGGGCGACAGGCCTGGATATTCTTCCATTTCCACAACTTTATGGCCCAGGAAAAAAAAAACCTGGGGACCACCCAACTCAACAACATCCAACTGATTGCCTGGGGAAACTGAACATCGCGAACTGATACTTTTTGTACAGATTTCAGAATGGTTCGCCATTAGTGAGGGTACGAGTTTTTCTTCATGCCATGTGTACTGTATTGTACAATTTTACTCAAAATACTTCCATGAATTTACTACCTTTTTTTTGTTGCGAAAATGGGAGGCGATATGAAGGTTCTTTCTGACCCAAAATAAGGTTTATAATGCTGTGAACCAATGTCCTTCATTAATACATTTAAAATACAGTAACTTTTTGGTAATTTCCTTCAATAATTGATTTTTTCAAGGTACCCAAGCTCAAATCTCAACTCGTCTTTTCTTCAGTCATTGAGTGCCACATAAATTAAGCCCAATTTTGCTCCTTACAAGAAGAATTGTAACCGTTTGATGGCAAAAGTTCCTTTTCATTTCATAGCAGTGACATGGTACTTGCAGTGTTCTATAGTCATGTACTGCTTTTGGGTTCAAGTGCGGGTCATCAAAAGTGAGCTGCAAAGCAGAACAAAATTTTTTTGCAGGGCTAAATTGTATTATTTTCTATGATATCCCATTTCAATCCCAGTTTTTAGACAAAAAACAAAAATAAATCGGCCACGTGTGTTTGAAAAAAAAAATTGTGTCCAGAGAAAAAATTCAAATATTTCCAAACCTCAACTGCGCGAAAGTTTCTTGTTTGCTTGTTTTTTTGTACAGAAACCAATTAAGACAAAAATTCGGAAAAATTGTGACGTGCGAGGGACTATTTACTTTTGCAGCAAAAATCGTCTGCTCTATAAAAGATGAATACATGTGAACTTTTCTCAGACGTGGTAAATATTGATAAGTCTTAACTTGTAAAATTATTTCTGTCTCTTTATGGCACTGAATTCTGCAAAAATATCTCGGCTCTGTCGCGGAAGGGTTAAAACAGTCAGCTGATCCAAGTGACACTCAGCTTTGGGACATTTCTCAGATTTTCCCGGGTGCGCAGTTGGGTTGCGCTCACTTTGGGCTCGGGGTTCAGAGTGGACCCCACTGCATGGGAAAGGCATCCATCCCAGCGGGGAATTGCAGTTGGTGTCCCCTGTCGGGTCCAGATCTCGCAAGGTTTTCATTTATCATGATTTTTTGTGTGCTTTGTCTCCCTGATGGCTGTGGGAAACCTAGACAGAATAGCAGCTGTATATTAGCAGAGGCTAAAACTGACCAACGGTCATTGCTGTTATTATGTGCTGTGCAACCGGATGCTTTCCAGACGAGGCATAAAAAGCCCATTTACGATGAAAGTCAGAGCTCGTATTCATGGAACCTGCGAATATCAAAGAGACTCAGGGAGAAAAAAAGGGCAGAAAATCGTAAAATTTCTTCACTTTGTTCCGAAGCAAAGCCTCTGATGTTCACGGAACTTGATTTCTTTTGGGAGAAATACTGAGGAGAATGTGGGTCCTAAAAGGTTGTCGAATCCCTGCTTCTCAGGGTACCTTTTGTCCCACCATAAAGCTGGGGGTTGTCCTATTTTTTTTTACTGGGAAGTGTCCTTTTGATGGGTTTATTGCTGCCAGATGGTCTGAGCCATATGTTTCTTTTGGTGCAACAATTTGCATCACCTCGCAGGTTTGAAAAAAAAAATCCCCTGTTCGGGGGAATGCCCATTAAATTTGTGCAAAAAAACAAGACACTAAAAGTCATTGCAAACAAGATTTTTTACAACTTATTTGGCGTTCAAATTGACATGCTCATGTGTAACTTGCTGACGAAAGCCACGTCAAAATTTCAGACCGACATTCTTTCTTGGGTCACGTCTCAGCAGTTCTATTGGTTCAAAATGCACGTTAAAAATACCAGAAGCTGTTTTTTGCGAATGACAGAGGGTATTCAATTTAAACTTTAAGTTGTTTTCTGTATATATTTTGATTACAACTGAATGGACGCTCAAGAAGTCGTGTTTCAAGTCTGTACCATTGACAGGTGGATCATTTAAACTCGCTTTCTCTTCTCTATGTTTGCTGTTGTTGTTGTAGAAATATTTTTAAAAAAAACAAAGGCTTTCAAAACATATAAATGACTCACCGTGAAAGGATCGGCATTGGATGGGGACTGAGGAGCGAGAAATCGCAGTCAGGAAGACGGAAGATCAGAGCTGAGGATAATGGTGATTTCGTCTCATCCTTCTTCTCTGCTGTCGACTGTTCCTTTCTTCGTCGACGACGACCCGCTACTGCTGCTGTCGGTGACATTCTTCTTCCTCTTTTGGTTGACAATTTTGTTTTTCGTCTTCTGTCGTGACAGCAATCTTTTTTGGGCCGGATTTGTTTATTTATTTAGGTTTTATTTGCGCGGAATACCGTGCCGAAAATTGACAGCTTTTTCTTTCCTCTATTCTCCCCGCAGCTCGATTTCCCCCGGCTGAAGCATTCCACTTTGATCACGTGTCAACATCTCGCTGCGAAGCATTTCTCGTGGCTTTTCATTTTATCAAATAGCAATCAAAGCTCTTGAGGATTTTTCCGATATATTTTTTTTTTTCACAGGGCTCCGATCGTCACTCGTCTGATGAACGCGATTTTCACTTCGAGGTTTTCACTGCGGAAAAAAAATTGCATCGGTACAGAATTCGTCGAATCCACAGGCTAGAAAAAATTATAAATAATAAACATCGCTCATACCATCCGAGTATCTAATGTTTTTCTTAACAAACCCTAGTATCGTCTTTTCCCGCAATGTTTTCAAAACATGTCAGTATAAGAGTATGCCGCACGTATTTTCCGTAGGCGACTTTAATGTGATGCAGCTTCATGGAATTTTATCCATGTCTAGAAAATTCAGTTTTTGGAAATATCCATCTTGAAATATATAAAAAATGAAGGCCTTACTTAGAACACAAATATTAAAAAAAAAACTGGCTTTCATAGACACAAGATACGAAGTAAGAACTTGAAAGAAGAAACAGGATGATTCATGGAAGGATAATTGTTTTCTTCCTCTTTGACATTTTGGCAGACAAATTTTCAAGCATTTTTGAAGCAATTCTCGAAAAACCCTAAAAAATGAACAGTGCAAATATTGGTTAATTGATCAGTTAGCTGCAAAACAACTCAAAAGTGCATGACATTGGGAATTTACATCCTTATGTAAACCAATAAACTTTACGGAAAAAAGAATCTAGTGCATTTTTTGTCAGGTTGATTCCTCCACATGTAATGTGATGATCATGTCAAGTCTAGAGGAATAATAATGCAGAAGTAATTTAGAAGGTAATTCAATGGACTTTACTTTCAGATCAAGTGCCTTTCAAGTTTCAATATATGAGGCCTCGAATAATTATCATAGTTCCACATTTATTCATCACTGAACCGTTCCGTGAATATTACTGCTGTTTTCAAGATACTTTGGAGATTTCGTCCCATTATGACGGTTTTTCAACTCCGAACTATTTATAAGTATCTGGGAGTCTGAATTTCAAAGCAGGGTGTTTTCAAAAGAGTTGATTCCCAAGTTTATTATCTATGAATGTCATATTAGTCGTAAGGATTATATAAAGAATTTTCATTACATATACTCGTGGATACAGACTCATTTTAATGCCGTATATAGGACAAACCTTGCTCATTACAGAATGAGTTCCTTCAATCCTCATGCTATGATAGGGGTTTGATATATTTATACTGCATTACAAAAAGAAATTCTCGCCGGATCGATCAATATTCGTGAAGGAAATTCAAAATCTTCTTCCTGCATCATCCGAAATAATGTATGAATCTAGGAACATTTTTTCAGCGCGCAGCATAACATTCTTTCATTTTTTCAAAATACCGTACTGTGCATGCAAAATTCCGCAAAAATGATCTCGGCAATCCCTCGTCAAGTACCGACACTTCATCCTCCGTTCATCGTCGTCGAGACCACACATATTATTCACAGAGCAGACAGCTAAAAGCTACTTCCTCGGGGAGCAGAAAACGTTCCCAGGCCACAGAAAACCCACCCTGAGGTTTGATGAGAAACACTCCAGGACCTCGTTTTCAGCCACAGAATCCATCAGCAAGCTATGAGTGCCAACCCAGAAAGCCGCTGTGTGTGGAGGTGCGTGGATTGAAAACGGGGATCGTTCAGGGGAATCCTCACATATCCCCGAGAAAAGCTCATTCCTGGAAACGTACATCACCACGACTTGACTATACTGGGTGCAACAACAAAAAAAGAAAAAAGAACTGAAAGGCTTGGAGGCGATCCCAAAGACAAGGGGCTTTTAGAAAGTTTCAGGCGTCACCAACGTATATCGAATCAACCTTTGCTGTGGAGCCTCATCAAGAAATTAAAATTTATAGCGGAATTTTTAAAATTCCTTGTGACTCATGCATCGTTTCCTGTGTAACCCTCTTATTTTTTCAAATTTTCAGCACTGCCATTTTTTCATATTTTTTCAAAGGCCTAGATCATAAAAATATCTGAAATGCTAAAAAAAAACTCAGCTCAGTAGCCCAGGGATACGGAAAAATTGAGACAGGCAATTTGAGACGACTGGGCAAATCAAGACAGAAAATTTGAGACTGTAACAAGTTGAGACATAAACTTTTGAAGACTGGGACTCTTGGAGGCATGAAAATTTAGAAACAGGGACAATTTGAGACAGTCACAAAGTAACTCTGCACACACACGTTTATTCACTTGATTTTCTGTTTTCCCCGAGATTCTGGCTTGCCGAAGATTTTAAAGAATTTTGTATTCTTTTCAAAATTTAAATATTTGAAATATGCTATAGTATAAATATTCAATTACGATACTTGTGTGCTACAGATATTTTTTTATGAAAGGTTTTATGCATAGAAATTTTTGTAAATTTTCTTGACCATAAAAGAATATGGTCGGAATAATAAAAACTTGTATTCAAATACAAAGAAATAATAACTGGCATATCTCTGCTGTGCTTTCTGTGTTTTGTTGTACTGTATTTCAACTGAAACAATGACACAAAAGGACGTACAGTATATGATTTTGCAAGAATAGATTAATACACTTCTGCGTTTTAGGAAAGTGCTAAAATTTAATTTTCACAGTGATTCATCTCCTCCAGGTTGAAAAAAGTTAAACATCTTCCATATTCCAAAGAACCATTCCAAGAAAAATTGAAAAAAAAATCCCTTGCCGAATTACTTTTAAGCTCATACACACGAAATAATCACGGATATTTTTGTCCCGACAAAAAAAAAATGCACCCAGGGTTTCGGGGTTTCTCTTCCTAGCTTGCCAGATGAAATCACGAAGGCGAAAAGAAGCCTGCAAAGGGAAAGGCAGGCAAAAATGAGATAGAAACTCCCCTGGCCCATATACGAGTATATAGGCGAGATTTCATCACGAGTATAGAGATCCCTCACGTTCGCCTGGCCCCACTAACGACACACTAGGAATAATACCCAGGGTGGGCAGATGCGAGAAAAGGCCTTCAAGTCAGCCAGTTATTCCTATTTCCAGTAATAAATATGATTTCACCAAGAAATCGCATACAGAACCATAAAAATTATTTGTTTAAATCCGAATTCAGAATTCAGGTACACAGGTTTTTTTTCTGCAAAATGTGTGGCAAAACAAAGCAGTGTGTGCTGAAGATTTAAGTTTCCTCAACAAGAAAAAATTCAAGAAATTATAGCACCGGCCAGGCTGAGAATTTCTCATTTGGAATTCCAGAAAACTGTGGATTATTCATGTCCCAACACAGAAATAATCACTCGAAGAATACAGAATAGCCAGTCATTCCTATTTCCAATAATAAATATGAGTTCACCAAAAAATCGCAATCAGAACCCTAAAAAAAATATTTTTAAAATCCGAATTTAGAATTCGGGTACATATTTTTTTTTTCCTGCAAAATTTGTGGCATAACAAAGCAGTGTGTGCTGGGGATGTAGGTTTCCTCAACGAGAAAAAAAATATTCGAGAAATTATAGCACCGGCCAGGATGAGAATTTCTTATTGGGAATTCCAAAAAACTTTGGATTATTCATGTCCCAACACAGAAATAATCACTCAGAGAATAGAGAAAATCCAGTCATTCCTATTTCCAGTGATAAATAGGAGTTCATCAAGAAATCACAATCAGAGCCCGAAAACATATTTTCAAAAATCTGAATTTAAAATTCAGATCCACCTGTTTTTTTTCTCCTTCAAAATTCGGAGCATAACAAAGCAGTGTATGCTGGGGATTCATGTTTCCCCAACAAACAAAAACACATATTCAAGAAATTAGAGCACCCAGGCTGGGAATTTCGTATTGGCACTTCCAGAAAACTTTGAATCATTCATGTCCCAACACAGAAATAATCACTCAGATAATTTGGGATCTTTCACAAAAATAATTTCACAGCACACCGGTAAAATGTTTTTGGAGAATTGATGCGCGGTTTTCGAGCTCCGTATGGTTCGACATTTCGTAGTGTAATACGAGAGGATTTTGTTCTTTTTGAAGGGAAGTACATGCAAACAAGTTTTGAAGTGGATTTCCTTGAACTTGATTTTACTGCCGTTTCATTGGCCTATGAGATTAGTTCGAGGATGATGCCTATATACGCGTCATCGTAGTACACTGGTTTTTCGCGAGGCTTTTCGCGGGACCTGTTCTTTGGACTGAGGCTCTCGAAGGCTATTACCGGTTTCAGGGATTTCATATCCAATTATTTATGGTTATTGAAACTATCTGCATCTTGATACGGGAACCAGTTTGCCATAAATAATACATTGAGCTTATTCCAGTAAAAACCAAATTAACCGAGGATCAGTACCGAAAGAGGCAACGCGCAAAAAATAGGTTTTCAAGCAGCATAGAAGTGGATTTATTTTATGACAGTCAATCAGGTAGCTAAGGTTTGGTAATTGCTAATTCCGTTCAAGCTATACTCAGATATACATGATTGCTTGGTGCTATTATGTTTTAGTCATGATTGACTCAATCATAATCCTAACCAGAATTAATGGGAAATTGCTTACGTACCTCAATTCGTGAGTTGACGCATTTGCCCTGAATAAGAGATTAATCTAAAAAATAGAGGATCTTGCTATAATTTTTTTCAGTGATTTTTATAGCTTTTGCACCAGTTATTTCAAGCAAGTCCTCTTTTTTTTACCTATTTCGTCGCAAAAAAATATCTATTCAAATCATTTCTATGGTAAAATGTAATTTTATTAAATTGGTATTTTTCATGAAATTACGCTAACCAGCTTTTTCATCAAGTGCAAAAACATCTCAATTTACCTTAATCGATTAAAGCAGAATCATGAGATGAACACCTGGTAAAAATTACATGAATTTCAGAGGGAAAAAAGGTGTTTAGCTCTACAAAGTCTCATTCCAGGTGCATTAAGCATGAGTGGCACGGTAATTCAATTGGAATACTACAATGCCACCAACTGTCTGCGAAAATTTTCTGACCCTCGAATAATTTACGGACTGCAATATTTTTAGAAGCACTCTAGCAGGTGGGTTGAATGAAATGCGCGTAAACCTTGGTGTGCTTTTGATTCTCTTTGATTGATGGACATGTGAATAGCACTTCAAAGCCAATTTCCTTCAAGTTCTGGACCTTCATAGAAAATTACGAAC